ACACCTCCCACCAGCCTAGGCTGCTCCAAGCCCCATCCAACCTGCCCTTCAACACTGCCAGGGATGGGGCAGCCACAGCTTCCCTGGGCAACCTGGGCCAGGCTCTCACCACCCTCACACTCCACAATTCCCTCCTCATCTCTCACCTCAATCTCCCTCTTCCAGTTTTCATCCATTCCCCGTTGTCCTCTCCCTCCCTGCCCTTGTCCCAAGTCCTTCCCCAGCTTTCCTGGAGCCCCTTCAGGCACTGGAAGGTGCTCTAAGGTCTCCCAGGAGCCTTCTCTTCTCCAGGCTGAACACCCCAACTCTCCCAGCCTGGCTCCAGAGCAGAGCTGCTCCAGCCCCTGATCATCTTCATGGCCTCCCCTGGACTCACTTCCATCCCCACAAAAAACCTGTGTGCATTCTCAGAAAAATACCAACAGAGCTCTGGAAATATTTTTAACAGTGTGTTTCAAATAGTGATTCCGCATCAGAACACTTAGCTAGAAAAAAAAGAAAAAAAAAGAACTTTTGCTAGAACTCACTGATCAAACCACATTTGGGTTTTACATGTTTGGGGTTTTTTTTATGATGAAAGCAGCACCTTCAAGTCCACAGGCTGCAAATCCAATGCAGTTTTCCTGGCAGGAGGAGGTGCTGGCAGGACAGAGGCTGCTGCAACAGAGATGGGAACACATCTAGTGAACACTGTTCTAACAGAGGCTGATGCTCTCTGTGCTGTGACAGAACCCAAAGTGGTGACCAGCCTGCAGCCATCCTGGCATGGGAAAGCATCCACGTTGCCATCAGAAAACATTACACAAATCCTAGCCATGGGGAAAAAAGTCATGCCAAAACTTGAATCTCGTCCCTACAGAACCCAGGAAGTTAAAGGCTTAATACAGAAGTGTTCTGACAGTGGTAATCTTCTGCCTTTCATATTCTGTTGGTAATGGATTCATCAGCCTCTGACACTAATGAACCACAACATACAACAAAGACTTGCCCTGAGCTCCAATGACTATTCTAATTCACACCTGTTCTTGGCTACATCTCTGCTAAGCTGTCATGTCCAGGAAGTATTTACAGGTGCCTCTAGTTTGCTTTGCAGGAGTTTGCTGGGGTCTTGTAAATTTTGGAAGTTTTAGGATAAAAAAAAATAATTTGAGGCAACTGCAGTCTTATTTCATAATATCATAAAATGCTGAAGGTTGGGAGGGACCTTAAAGACCATCAGGTTCCAACCTCCCTGCTATGAGCAGGGACACCTCCCACCAGACCAGGCTGCACAAGCCTCATCCAACCTGCCCTTGAACTCCTCCAGGGAGAGGAAGCCTCCAACCACCCTGGGCAACCTGTTCCAGTGCCTTCCTACCTTCATGGTAGTAAGACATCTTTTACCTGTATTTATGTTGCTTTTTTTTATAAGCAAATTAAAGTAATTGGGATACTACTGGGAAGCAATATCCAAAGAGAATGTCCACTTGCAAGAGCACGATGCTGAAGAGTTCTTTTATATAGATTACCTCAATTGTTCATTTTATGTAGGATCAGGTTTTTAATTAAAAAAAATAATCCATAATTGAAGTTCTTTAGTGATGAGATAAAAACTAGACATTAGGGTGCTACATTTAAAAAAATCAAGTCACACTTGACCTCTTTGCATTCAAGCTTTGGTATGTGAGAACTAGCTGTGATTTAAGAACAGTGAAAAGAGATTGTGCTCTTCTGACAGGTTTGAAGTTCCCTCCCAGTGATGCTGATGTCAAGTAAGGCCAAGAGCAAAACAGCCACCATCATCTGGAAATTCTGACACTGTTTAGTCAGAACATTTTCATTTCAAAGAGAAACTGTTCATGCACACAACGCATAAGCTGAGACATTTTGGGCAGCTTCAGAGAAGATGGTCTCCCTCTTCCAGGACAAGCTTGGAAACCTGCTTCAGGCCTCATCTCCATTTCCAGCATGGTTTCTCAGCAGGTTGGTGTCCAAGCAGTCTTTTCCCAAGTAGCAGCTGGTTAGATCTTTTGACATACACAACATTACAGAGTAAAAGCATTCAAGTGTTCTGTTCAACACTTCCCGCCCGCCATGAATAAAACCCAAAAGCAGAAGAAACACCCTGAGCACAAGGCACTTAGCAATGAAGTCACAACACACACTCCAGAATTAGCAGCATCAGATACGAGATGACATTAACTGGGGAGAAAGACAAAAGGTTACAAACTTTATTCCCTGGAGTAAGTTAGTATCAATGGCCTTGGAGAGGAAAAACCCACTTTCCACATGGAGACATCTTCATAATTCATTCCCAAATGGTGACTTTTCATATGAAAAGGCTTTTCTCCCTCTGTAGGTAACTAAAACTGACTGGACACAGAGAGGAGCACAGGACCACCAGACTTGCCACGCTCAAAAACTAAAGGTCTTCACAGAAGCAGTGAGGGTTTCCAGGAGACATTACTTCCTACAAGACAAATTATTCAGCTTTGTCTTAAGGTTGTATTCTTTCCTAAAATTGCAGGGTTCCTGCTGCTGTAGGTCATGCAAACAAGCTACCCATCCGAGTCCTCAGGGACCTCAAAGGACAAAGGAGGAGGGATCAGGCATTAGGACTGAAAGCTGAGCAGGTCTGAATAACCCAACGCTACTTCCATTTTCAAGTCAATCCACGTAATTGGGTTCACTGTTTATTTTTCCACACAGATCAATGTTGTTTCCATTTTCCAGAGGGTACGTCTCTGATCCAGCAATGCCAACTGCAGCACCATGCTTAAGGGAGAGTTCTGGGGTGGGGTTTTTAAGTATCCAATAACCTGAGACATAATTACAGAGTCTGACTTCTTTTGTACCAAAACAAAACTCCGAGTGGTACATAGAAGGTTTATTTATGCAGGGAGCACAACAGCAAGACAACACCTATGCTCTACTCTGCCACTTTAGGACATTGAGAAATCACTGAGAAAGCAAGGTCTCCTGGAGCTTCACAGAGCAGGCTCACATTGCAGATCTAATTCACTCTACCTATAACTCATTGGACATTTGCTTCATCTTGTTAGCAAATGAAAGGGTTTTGAAAACAGGGTTCTTCTCTACTATGACAGTATAGATTTCTAAACTCATCTGAGGCTGCTCTAAAAGCCAGCTGAACACAGATGAGTCTTGTAACAACAGAGAACAAAAAACCATCCTGGCCCAACCATAATCTCTGCTTTTTAAAGCCTTGCTGCTGCCTGAAGTTGCATTCTCAGATGCAAGTAATTTAGCTCAAGTTTTTAGTTCAACACTGGGGGAGGATATATCACACCCCACCTCCCCCCCTTTTATAGGCTAGATTAAGAATAGCTGCATCAGTTCAGTGCTGCTGTATCAGAGAACTCAGGAGGAACATGCTGCTGTTCAGAAAGGAAAAGGAACACCATGACTTCATGGAAAAATCTAAGCATCACAGGTCACATGTCACTGAAAGGGAAGGATCCATAGAGAAGCAGATATGTAACCAAAATCATGTGAGAAGGCATTCAGAGAAATTCCAAGAGAACAGAAGAAATAAACATAAAATGTTTAGACCTGGGAAGAACACAGAAATCATATATGAAGGCACTCATGGAGAAGCCAGCAGCAGGCTGGCTGCAAGCCTACTACAGAACTAAAGGGGGTGAGGAACAAACACAGACTCAACACTGGGCTTGTTTTCACACAGCAGCTAGAAAACTTCAGAAATCTCTAACATCTATAAAGCATACATAGATTTTTCCCAAGTCCTTTGATCCTAAGGAGAAGAGACACAGATGGCAGACAACATCAGCACTACAGGTGGGGGAGCAGTTTGGGGTTCAAGACAAGAGGACAAGGTAGCAGAGGGTTTGATGGGGGTGCCAGGAGGGGAAGGGTCACTAGACTGCCTCTAGATACTACGGTACCACTACTGCAGGGTGCTGGACTCACTCTGAAGGACGCTTATAGTAGCCTGGGCTCGAATCCACGTTATGGAGGGATTTTGCCTCAAGTCATTCCTCCTGGGATCGTTGCTGGCCCTGCACTCGTAAGTCCCAGAGTCTTCCAAGGTGAGGCGGGTTATCCTCAGCACACTCACCCCATTGGCCCCGTAGGCTGTGTTAATGGTGACCCGGCGCTTCCGAGCGCCGTCCCACAGCTGTTTGAAAGACTCAGCCCGGTTGACTTCAGCATACCACCACTGGATCTCTGGAGTGGGGTTCCCAACCACATCACAGTACAGTTCAAAGGCGTCCCCCGTGAGTTTAGTTTCTGACATGGGTGACTTGACAAACCCGGCTAGAGGGAGGGGCAGCAGAAACGCAGTGACAGAGTAGCAGAAAACAACAGATCTTATCAAGAACAAAGCAATGAGGTGCAGAAAACAGAGATCGAGAAGACATTAGCATCCACAACAACACAACTTTCATAGAAAAAAGGACAGGAAGGGGGACACCGAGATCCTCTGGAAGATCCCACCATGGCAGCTGTCCTTGGGGAGCCACGGGCTGCAGTGCACACCAGCTAGGAGGTACCTCCAAGCCACAGAGATGACTGGTGGGTTTTCAAACCTTCTTCAGTTGTGTGGACCTTGTGATCAGCAAGTGTTTGTGGCCATGTCTTTTTCTCTGAAGTTTTCTTGCTCTATACAACCTATCTACAGGGGAAGGAGGAGTAAAACCCTAACCTTCTTGCCCTGCACAGCTTGCTATTGTGAACACTGCTTTGACCTTCCATCTATTTTGGACTTCTGAGGCACGGAATTCCCCAAGATAAAAGTGACCTACTTTCCTGAAGGAGCTGGATCACCACAGCTCCAGGAGTCTCACAACCTTCTAAGGTAAAGGGAATCTCAGTGGTATATACACACAAAGGCTAAAAAGATCACTCCAGCAGTTAGGAAATACAGCACCAAAGGTACCTTGACAGACCACATAATTTTTGCCTTCTGAACCAAGATGTTGTGTTGACATGGATGATCAGGCCAAAATATCCTTATTATGGCATGAAATCCTTCAATACTTACCAGCCTGAGAGCTGTGTTAAGAGCACAGACACACTAAGCTGTCCTTCAATCCTTTTTTCCCAGGGAACTCCTGAAATCAGCATTGCCTGAAAGCCAGGCTCTCCCCTCACCCACCCCTCCCTGAAAACCAAAAGATTAGAATCCAGCTGGCCAGACAGATTATGCAGCAAAACCTGTCATATTGCTGTGTTCCCTAGGCAGCAGGACTTCTCATCAGCAAGCAGAGCTAGTGTGTCACACAGCTGATAAAACTCAGCTTCATGCATCCCCCTCCTCAAATTCATTGGTTATGTTCAGGAGGAGGATTGAAAGAATTCAGTGGATTTTAGAAACCAGAAAGATGGACTTAAAAGTCTTCTACAAATTTCTGATGCACCCTCTGACCACACTCACGAACCTGTGACACAAACACCTGTACATTCACAGACCATTACACTGGAAGTCTGCACTACAGGTGCATCTCTAAATATATAATTTGGACAAGAAAACCAGACAAAGAATCTTTAGAGCACACGCAGAAACTGCCCCTTGCCAGCAGATTTGTTTGAAGAGCAACTGTGCAGTTGCTGCAAATAACAGCTACAGGAAGAAATGCTCAACAATAGAAAATATTAACTTAGAAATTGTTCAATTATGAAGACATTTGACGAGGATTCCTCAGCCTTGTACTCCAGAGCTAACGGAGGTGAGTTCTATGCTCAGCAAAAATGCCACTGCAAACAATCCATTGCTGCAGGGAAGCAGGGGAAAAGCTAATGCACTCGAAGTGCCTTAATTACTAGCAGTTATAACCCACACGCAGCCCACTGTTGTTGTTTCTTGAGGCTAACAAAGATCACACTGTTCTCACACAGCTGCTGAAGGTAGAACAGACCAGGTTATGATCTTGCTCTGCTGGACAGTCCACATTTCAAGGGATGACAAACAAGGAAGACTTTGTGTTCCCACAGAGGCAGACATCAAGCAGTGAGGCTGGGACCTACCTCTACGTGGCTTATTAGATGTGATAGGCTAAAGCCTGTGGCCCAGACTACCTCCTTTCCAAATCTTATTGCTTCTCTCTCCTATACTAGAGCCTTTTTTTCCTACCTTCCTCCACAATACTGAAATGCCAATCACAGGTGAAGACATGACAGTAGCTCAGGGAACATTGAAAGTGATCCCCCTTCCACAGCTTCCCAGTTTCCACAAAACTCTGATGCATGAAGATTAACTCCCTGTCTTGAAATGCATCCCTGAGCCCAAGGCCAAGTGACCCAAAAACCAAAGCTGCAATTCAATCCTACTCCTCCAGCTGTCCCAGCTACTAAGCAAACATCTCTGCAAGAAAAGGCTCTGAGGCAGGGAGGAAGGGCTGTAATTGTGTCTTTTAAAGCAACTGTTTCAAACCCCATGTTTCCACCAGTTTCAATCCTCTTGAAAAACAATGTCTCAGACCATGAAAAATTTCTGTGCAACACCTTATCTTGATCTGAGTAACCACATCAGCAGCACAGGCAACACCATAACAAAGGCAAAGGAAAAATGCTGCCTGGACTCAGTGGCCTGCCCAGCTCCAACAAGAGATCCAAAAGTACTTTTTTCAAAAAAAAATTTAAAAAAAAAATAAATAAATTCCAGGTTAGATTAAAATCCTGGAAGGACAAATGAGAACAAAGGTGACAGAAAAGCCTCCCTATGCAAATTCATGAGAACTTAGCATTACAAAGGACTGGCAGTGCTATTAAAAACTCAACACAACAGTCTCGGGTTCATGTTTTGCATTTTTCCACCGTTCAGAAGCAGCAGAGGGAAGACATCAAACAGCATCAGTAAGTTGAGGCAAAGCTTCCAGCCACTGTACATCTGCCAGAGGCCATTTCCAATTAAGATACCTAGCCAGAAGCTACAAAACCAGCTGAAATCTGCCAGTACCAAGCTGACATGTTTTGGTTTGTTTTTAACAAAAACCCAAAAAGCTAAACACTACAGAGAATGCTCCCCGTAACACAACAGCAGTCTGGAAACAGAATTCTTTCTGCTTTTTGGCAATTGTCAGTGATTTCCATAATTGTTCCAACAGAAAATGACACTATACAGATTTCATTGCTTATATAAGAGGCTTTCAGAGCCCAACATTTTCCTTACTTGGTCTTCTCCAAGCACAGCACTCGCTGCTCTGTTATTACTATGTTCTGCACAATTCCAGAGACAGGAGCATCAAAAGAACAAATATATATATATTAAAATACAAATAGATCAAGGCTAGAGGTCAAGTTGGGGTTTTTTTTGTGTTTGTTTGTTTTTGGTTTTTGTTTTTTAAGTGATTATACAGTATCTATTTAAAACTAAAATCCTGCCCTTATCTGTAATTTGGAGCAGATTTTATTTCCAAAGGGTAAACTGTAGGAAGCACTGGTTCTAAGAATGATTTTCAGCTCTCAAGTGTCATTCCTGTACAGAACAGAAGAGAGAAACTTTAGCCAACATCTGAAAGCTCTCAAAGGTCAGGGCTCCTGGGAGGGTGGAGGAAGGAGGCAATAATCCACAGATCATTCCTTAAGATCATATAGACCCACAGGAAGTAACAGAATAGCCCAATCTTAATCTTAAATCTTTAGTGAATCCTTAAATCAAATACAATAGGAATATTGTTCTTTAGCCCAGTCAGTCACAAGACTGGTTTTGAAATTAGTCCCATTGTCCTGGCTCAAACCAGGACAAATATGCACCTTCAAATGCTTCAAAGAAAATAACTCCTAAGAAGGGCTGGCACTGTAAATTTTCATTCTGTTGACAACTGTATTTATTTCATTATATCCACAAACGAGTTATTCTGTAACAGAGAGTGTTTTCCTCATTAAATGGTGTTTGGTGGGGAGGGTTGTTTGGGCTTTGGATATTTTAAAAGCTAATTGCATGAGAGAACAAGGGGAAAATCTAGCGTTAAACATCCCTTGTAAGGTCTTTGCAAGTTCCCACGATATACCAGAATGCAAGAAAATAATGCATGATAGTCCAGAAGGTGCAGCTACTCAAGCCCACTATCATGTTTCCAACCATGTTTTTTTATTATTAATTGATGGTTATCTACCTGAAGGACAGAATGAAGTGGCAATGATATTAAATCCCTTCTGAAGTGATGCTTGTTTATTGAAGATTTGATCTCACCCACCAATTGTGAGGGTAAAGGTGGGAAAAGCAATGGACTAAAGCTCTAAAATTGAAGACACAAATTAGTCTTTCCATGCACCTCTGCCAAAGATGAATGAAAGCCAGTGCACAGCAGGGCTCTTCAGATTTGAAAACTCTGAATTTGAAGGGTAGAAGAACCACTAAATCCAGATGCAAGAAGAAAAATGAATGTATTTTGAAAGCTGACAAAATGAATGTATTTTGAAAACTGAGAGCTATGGAAAAGGGCAGCCAAAATTTTCCATATGCAGTAAGAGAAACACATACAGCAGATCATTCAGATTAATTTTTCTTCTGCCAATATTTATGAGCTACCTGTTGGCCACAAGCAAGGAGGCCAAGCCAGGCCACATTCCAACTTTGGCATCTAAATGAGTCACAGCTTTCCATACCAGCAATGCCCCTTCCAGGTGCACCCAGCAGCAGCACCCTTTCCAACTGCAGCAATTTCCCTCTTTGACAGAAGCCAGAGTCAGCAGCCAAGTACCTCTGAAAGAGATGGAAGTGGGAGTAGGAACAAGGCTTATCTTCTTGCTGAGGTGATCATGAAGCTGAAAGATTAAATATAGGATACAGCTGGAAATTTATACTTATTAGAAATGCACGGAAATATTTAACTGTAACTTTGACCGGCTTCTGAAGAGCAACTTGTGTTCCACCTCGGCTGGAGGCCAAAAGAAAAAGTGAAACAGAAGGTATCTCCTGAATAGCTAAAACCAAATATACAGCCCTCAGGAGAAGGACTTGAGGGTGATGGTGGGTGAGAAGCTCAAAATGAGCCAGCAACATGTGCTGAAGCCCAGAGACCAACTGTGTCCTGAGCTGCAGCAAAACCAGCATGGCCAGCAGGGCCAGGGAAGGGATTCCCCCCTTTTATTCTGCTCTGGTGAGACTCCACCTGGGAGTGTTCATTTATGGAACCTCCAGCATAAGAAGGACTGGAACTCCTGGAGAGAGTCCAGAGGAGGACATGAAGATGATCTGAGGGCTGGAGCAGCTCTGATTTGAAGACAGGCTGGGAGAGTTGGGGTGTTCAGCCTGGAGAAGAGAAGGCTCCTGGGAGACCTTGAAGCACCTTCCAGTGCCTGAAGGGGCTCCAGGAAAGCTGGGGAGGGACTTGGGACAAGGGCAGGGAGGGAGAGGACAAGGGGG